CTCGCCCCCCTCCTAACCACCCAACCCCAGGGTCTGGCCGACGACCCTGAGGTGTTCGCTGAGCTCAAGGTGAAGGAGATCAAGAACGGCCGCCTGGCCATGGTCTCCGTGCTGGCCTTTGCCATCCAGAGCGCGGTCACTAAGGAGGGCCCCTACGCCAACTGGAGCAAGCACGTGGCCGACCCCTTCGGCTACAACCTCACCACCGTGCTGGGCGCCGGCGAGGAGCGCGTGCCCACCCTCTAAATTTTGAGCTCAACCCGTTTTTGTCATCTTTCTTGGCCGCCGTTCCCGGCTGGCACAACGCGCAGCTGCCCATCCGAAATGATTGCCCTGCACCCTCACCTCTTCCTCCCTTGAGTGTAATTGTACAAGCACAATCATGTATATGAGGGGCGCATGCTATGTACTGGCTGGCAAGCATGGAGATGACCGGGAGTGTCAGCACTAGGTGCGACGCATGGGCATATGCACGATGGGACAAGTCAGGCATGCGCACAGCATCAATCCTGCAGGGCAGCTGACACAGCTCGAGGGCTTGCCAGTGGCTGTAAGTGAAAAGTAATTTGTAATTTGGCAAATGCTATCTTTGTGTCATGCCAAAGACCCAGGAATTTGCCCATCAAGAGCTGCGGGTCCACAGGAGCGGAGGAGCGGCATTGTCAGCTCTTCCGCCCCTTTGAATTCCCCACAATCGCTGCAGCGGATTCCCCCTTGTGCGCTTGGACCCGCCCAACCGTCCATTCTCAACTTCTCCAATCGCTCTGCCATGTCCCGCTTGACGCTCTCTCTCTGCCAGCGGCCCATCAAGGGCGCGCATCCCGTGTGCATCTTGCCCATGCCCCAGCAGGGCCTCACAGCACCAACCTCAGTGGTTCCGCTGATTGTCTGAAGCCCGCAGCCCCTCCTATTGACGGAGACGCTGCGGGCTGAATCGGCATCGCACCAACCAAAGACCGCTGTTCAACAGGAGCTAGCAGCACGAGCAACTACGTATCCGAATTGCGTATAACAATATGGTCAGATTGAATCCCCACGCGGCCTCTTTCGTGCCCGTGGCCACTTCCAAGACGGCCGCCGACGGCGCCAAGGGCGTCGACTTTGGCGCCAACGGCGGCGCTGCTGCCGCCGGCGACGACAAGCCGGGGACGCCTGGCGTGCCAGCCTCGCCTATTGCAATCTGTGTAAGCCCTGCCCGGCTGTCCCCGCTTGTCATCGGCGGCACAGCCGTCGCACCGGCGGGACATAGGGCGGGCGCCGTGGCGCCCGCAACGCCAAACGGCCTTGCAGAGGTGGCGTCCTGCCTCCTGTCTGGCGAGCTCACTTTTGAGGACGTATTCTACCATGAGGCCAGCCGCCGCACGTCGGTGAGCCGCGCACTCGCCCGCTGCCTGCTGCATGCGCTTTGGCAGGGGGCCTGCATGCATGCTGCAGGGGCATGGCGGAGGGACGCAGCAACATCACCTGCGGCCTCAACAGCCCCCTGCGTTTGCCGCGCACACAGACTGCCGACGCCCCCGAGACACCCTGCTTCGGCGAGGGCGAGGAGGATGACGGCGCGCCGGCGGCGGGCGGCGCGCCCCTCGCCTCCGCCGCGCACTGGCCGAGCGACCCGAGCCTTAGCCGCCCCTGCGAGGACACGGCCAGCAGCGCCGCCAGCACCGTCGGCGACGGCTCCGACGCGGCAGCGGTGGAGCAGGCGCGGCTGGAGCTGCGGTGCGACGGCCCGGTGGAGAGCTGCGCGGCGACGGGCATGCCGGCGTCGACGCGCGTCGGGCCGCGCGATTTTGAGATCCTTCGGGTCGTCGGGCAGGGCGCGTTTGGGAAGGTGAGCGGGTGCAGGGCCGCATATGATGTTGCATATGATGAGGCGGGGCCGGCGCCAGCAGGCCGCGGGTGGGGATAGGGGAGCGGTGGCGCGGGCTCTCTTCGGAAACAGTGCACCTGCGTGGGCGACCCTGTGCGCCATCGTGTCCCCTCATCCAAGCGAACGCACACACAGCACACAGCACACACGCAAACACGCAAACACCCGCACACATGCTTATGCATGCCCACACACACACACACACACACACACACACGCACGCGCGCGCGCGCATGTGTCCGCGCACCGCCTCGTTCACGCAAACATACACGCGTCCAACCCACGCGCCCTGCAAAAACACAGGTGTTCCAGGTGCGTCACCGCGGCACGGGGGCGCTGTACGCGATGAAGGTGATGCGCAAGGAGCGCATCCTGGAGCGCGACCACGGGGAGTACATCCGCGGGGAGAGGGACGTGCTTACGGTGAGGGCCCGCCCGCGGCGCGCGCGGGCGCGCGGCGGCCGCCTGGCCGGCGCGCGGGCCACGCCGTTTCGACAGGGCCGTGTGGTACGCGCTCAGAGCGTCTGTTCCCCCGTGTCAATGCTACCTTGTCCACCATCGCATCCAATTTTGACCCCCTCGTCCCCGCAACCCCTGCCTCGGCGCCTGCCCTGCCTCCCCAGGCCGTGGTGCACCCCTACATCGTGACGCTGCGCTTCAGCTTCCAGACCCCCAGCAAGCTGTACCTGGTGCTGGACTTCATTAACGGGGGGCACCTCTTCTTCAACCTCTATAGAGCGGTGGGTGGGGGTCGGGGAAGGGGTCTCGTGTGTGTGTGTGTGTGTGTGTGCATGTGTGTGTGTGCATGTGTGTGTGCGCATGTGGGTGTGTGTGTGTGTTCTCGCGCGTGCATGTCTCTGCACTGTGTCCCGTGCATGCGATTGAAGCCGATCACGTCTGCGGCTGCATCTTTGTCAAAATCACTTCAAGCATATGGCACCTCACTCTAGCCCTCCGCGCGAGCGCGCGCGCACACACACACACACACACACTCACTCACTTACACGCACGACCTGCTGTCCTCGTCCCCAGGGCGTCTTTGACGAGGCGGTAGCGCGGCTGTACACCGCCGAGATCGTGTCTGCGCTGTCCTACCTCCACGGCCGCGGCATCGTGCACCGCGACCTGAAGCCGGAGAACGTGCTCCTGGACTGCGAGGGCCACGTCAAGCTGACAGACTTTGGACTGGCCAAGGGCAACATGGGCGCGGGCACCAGGTGGGGATTGGGCGGGGCCGGCGGGCCGGCGGAGGGGGGCGGCGAGGGCGGCCGGGGAGCGAGTTGGAGGGAGGGATTGCCGCACGGAGGCACCGCTGAGAGCACGCCAGCGGCACCCTGCAGGCTTGAAGAGGATTCTTAAACGTTGGTGTGTTGGTATGCCGGGTTTGGCGGCGCTCCCCTCTGGTGTCCTCACGGTTGCTGAGGACCCCCCCCCC